CCTCGGCGTCACCACTACGTTATTCGACCACGAGCAGTATGCAGTCTGTACCGAGGCTGCCGCTGGTGCACCTCTGACCGCGTTCCCCTGGGACCCTGTGTCTGGCCTGTTTATGCTTGACACTGCGTCCCCTGCGGTGGGGGCGTCCCTCCAGGTGCCTGCGTCTACCCAAGTCGCTGCGGCTTGCTCGTGTCGGTCGCTCACTCACACGTCGCTACTGTGGCACCAGCGCCTAGGTCACCCCGCAATCCTGCGTCTACGTTACATGTCCCACCATGGTCTTGTCTTCGGTCTTCCTGCGTTGCTCCCTGCTCTCCCTCCCTTGCCTGTACCGCCGTGCATGCCCTGTGTCGAGGGCCGTCTGCGCCGTGCTCCTCACTCCTCCTCGCTTCCCCTTACCTCTTCGCCACTTCAGGCCCTGCACCTGGACGTCTGGGGCCCATCTTCCGTCCCTGGGCCGCGTCGAGGGCGCTACTTTCTGGTGCTCGTCGACGACTACACGAGCTACACCACGGTGTTCCCTGGAGCGGAAGGCCGAGGTGCTTGACGTTCTTATCCTATGGGTCGTAGCTGCGCGAGTCCACCACGACCTCCCTGTGCTACGTCTTCACTCCGACCGTAAAGACGAGTTCCCCTCCGATCGGCTTGGCCAATTCTGTCATGCGGAGGGCATCACCCATTCATACACCCTGCCGAACTCCCCGCAGCAGAATGGGGTCGCTGAGCAACACATTGGTTTGATCATGGAGATGGCTTGTACCTCCTGATCCATGTCGGTGCACCCCATTTTATGTGGCCGTTCGCTATTCGCTACGCCGCTCACCAGCTAAACCTGTGGTCACACTGCCAGCGGCCACAAGTTTTGCTGATCCTCCTCTGGACCAGGTTCCCTGGTGACGCATCTGCGTTCCACGTCTAGGGTTGCCTTGCTCACGTTCGTGCCTCTGGCCCGGACAAGCTCACTGCCCACACTATCCCATATGTCCTCCTTGGCTTCCCCCTCGACGCGTCTAACTGGCACTTTTACCACCCGCTGTCTCACCGTTTCATTTAGTCGCGTAACGTCATTTTCGACAAGTCTGTCTCCGTCTACCACCACTTTTCCCACCGAGGTCTCCTGGTTTCCCTCCCCTAGTTTGTGGTTCCCACTCCCTAGGTAGCCCCTGCTCCTCTCCCTTCCCGTCTTGCCCCATCTGGTGTGTCTCACGTCACTCCCATCCCGTCGGATGTCCCAATCGAGGAGTCGGCTGACTCTGGTGGCACCTGCGGCTCCGTTCTCGCCACCTATCTCCGCCCCGGTGTCTCCTCCTTCGCTGCTGCAGCAGCAGTCATCGTCGCCGCCATCGCAGCCACAATCGCCGCCACCGCCACAGCAGCAGCCACTGCAGGGGTCCGCCAGCTTTGGGGGTGCGGGCGTTGAGAAGGGTGCTAGTCCTAAGGGATATTGTAGTGGCTCCTCCCGACAGTCCTGGGGGTGGCACAAGTATTGGAGAGGGTTCTCGCTCTGGGGATGTTAGCTTGGAGTGTCCCTGAGGTAGCCATAGTGCAGCTGGAGTTTCTAGTGTTGGCGCGGAGCAGCGGCACTAGCAGCCGTCGCTGTCGTTACCCGCCCTTTGCCTCCTCAGCCTTTCATCCCCTGACCACCCGCCTGCGCCTCCCCCACTGCCGCCTCCCTTGCCTATCTACGGCCATGTGTTTCCTCGGCCGGATTCATCTCCGGCTCGTCTCCCCCCTCATTCTCCTCTTGTGTCTCCTCCCTTGTTTCCTGACCCGACCCCACCCTCCTGCTGGTGGTCTCACCGTGCCTCTCATGCTCGTCCTGTCTCCCCTGCCCGTCGTTCTCACCCTATGTTGCTTCGTTCCCACAGGTCTCATCCTCCCCTTCTCCTGTCGCCTTGCCTATCGTCACTTGCTATCGCTTCGCCTCCTCTGCCTGACATTCTTCGTGCCACTAGTCCTCTTGTTCCTCGGGTCCTTGCCTCCCTCGTTACCAACCCATCTGTTCATGTCGCGAGTCTTGACACTCTTGTCGCTGCCGTCGCTGACTTTGCCTCTACCCACCGCCTTGACCACACCACCGCTCTGGTCTCTGACCCTGCCCGTCCTCCGTTCGTCGGGGGTGCTTCTGCCCTCGGCAGTGACGTCTTGGAGGACCAGCATTACGAGCTCGCTTTCGTGTCCGAGGTCGCTCCTCATCTTTGCTCCATGCTGCTAGCCCCTGAGGGTGACCCAAACGCCCTTGACATCCCGACCCCTCGCAGTTACGGTGAGGCGACCTTGGGACCATGGGCCTCTCAATGGATAGCTGCCATGGACGTGGAGATGGCATCTTGGAGATCTACTGGCACCTATGAGGACGCAGTTTCCCCACCTGAGGGTGAACGTAGTCGATGGCCGGTGGCTCTTCAAGGTGAAGCGCCCTTCCGGAGAGCCGCCGGTGCTCAAGGCGCGCTACGTGGCTAGAGGCTTAAGTCAGTGCGAGGGTGTTGACTTCTTTCAAACGTTCACTCCGACCCCGAAGATGACCACTCTTCGGGCGCTGCTACACGTAGCAGCACAGAGTGCCTACAACCTGCACTCCCTCGAGTTCTCGTCAACGTTTCTCTAGGGAAGTCTGCACGAGCCATCTACTTGCGCCGTCCGCCCAGCTTCATCGGCACCTTTGCCTGTGGTACCGAGTGGCTCCTCCGGCGCCCGATTTACGACCTGCTGCAGCGCCCCGTGAGTGGCACGACACGTTGCGTGCTACGTTAGCTGACCTGCAGTTCTTCGCATCGTGTGTAGACCCCTCGCCCTTGGTTCATGCTGGCCAGACCCCGTTCTACATCCTTGTCTCCGTAGATGACCTAATCTTTGCTACTGCTGACAAAGGCGCATTGGCCTCCGTGAAGGCTAAGCTGCTGAGGAGTCACACCTGCACTAATCCAGGATTGCTGCACCGCTACCTTGGCCTGCAGATCTCCAGGGAAAGAGCAGCACACGCCATCACTCTTACACAGTCATATTTGGTGCGCTAGGTCCTTCAGAGGTTCGGTCTTCAGTTCTCCTCCGCACAGCCCACACCTCTACTAGTAGATCACACGCTCTCGGCTCCAGTCCCTGAAGAGTTTGTAGATCCTAGTGGTCCTTACGCAGAGCTGATTGGTTGCCTTATGTACCTGATGACTTGCACTCGTCCAGATCCCGCATACCCTCTCAGCATCTTGGCTCACAAGCAGATACTGACCAAAGCACTGGTTGGCCGCTAAGAGGGTTTTGCGTTATCTAGCAAGTACATTGTGCATGGGGCTAGTACTAGGAGGACGCAAGCCAGTGCTCCTTACAGGGCACACAGACGCTTCATGGGCAGATGATGATGCTTTAGCCTTGGTGTAGGGGCCATCTCGTGGTGGTCCACCCGCTCGTCCTCTTTTGCTCAGTCTAGCTGTGAGGTCGAGATCTACGCTGGTGCCATGGCGGCAGAGGAGCTCTGCTGGCTGACTTTCTTGCTCACTGACTTAACTGAGCGGCCAAGCTCTGCCCCGGTCCTGTACACTGACAACAGGGCCACGATCGTCCTATGTTAGGTGCCTCAACTGGAGGGCAGAGCGAAGCACATCCAACTGCGGTACTTCCTCCAATGCGAGCTATAGCAGCGTCGCCAGGCTCGCGTAGTTCACTTGGCTTTAGTGCCAATACAGTTGATATCTTTACGAAGGCGCTTGCGCCTAAAGATCATCAGCAGCACTGTGTACAGCTGGGTTTACTTCCTTTAGCTTCGCACTTGCTAGGACCTTGATTGTGTACTATATCATGTGCTACCTTGACTGGCCTTGTGGCTCCTGTTCCAGTGGCCGGACTAGTAGTGCCGCCCCGAGTACTCTTGTTTCTTTTGTACTCTTGCTGACTGGTCTTCAGACCCTTGCCTTAGAGGTTGGACTAGTAGTGCCACCCTGAGCTGCATGTCTCTTGCATGTCGTTGCCCCTAGTCTAGCCTAGGGGGTGTGTCAACATATATGTTATTTGCTAGATAGGTGCATGCTCATAGATAGTACAACACCTTAGCACATATTCCCATGTACCCCTTCCTTCTAGTCAATCGTTAACTCTGAGCGGTGACACCTGCAAACTTTTTACTACCGGACGAGTGGCGCATTTATGACGCATTCAATGTCAGCCTCCTTCGCCCCTACGTCGCCAACACGTCAGCAGTCGCACGAGCAGTGGCTGTTCCCAGTGCTCGACCAATGGCCGAACTGACCCTTGAGCCTTTTCCACTTTTGAGTCACCGCGTCTGCCTCGACACCACAGAACGCCACGTGGATATTCTTGTCCGCCGGGCCAATCGTACAAGTGAAGACGACACGTGGGTCACTTCCGACTCGCTTTGTGAACACTCGGTGCTCAAATCTTATTTGACCCGAAAAGGCGTTCCCGATATTGACCACCTTCGTTATGAGGGGGGTAGTGTAAGGAATTTTATTCCCCGGGTTGTACTGCAATCGCGTACACCCAAACTCTCGGAAGACCAGGCTTGACGCGTTTCTGACGCAACCCCAAGGCAGGCTCATTCTGTCTCCGGCCCTTTTGGCCGCGCCTGTACCCAGCCTAGCCCTCCAGACTCGTCGCCTAGCTAGATTTCTCGCTATAGAATGCTAGGTTCCCATTCTTGTACTCGTCAATATTATTCCGCGCACTTTTAGTTATTACTCATAACAAATGTGATGAATTAATCAGAGCAATAACAGGTAGTGTAACAAAGGAGTCGTGATTCAAGAGTGTCGATACAAATGAGGGCCTAGGCATTCATAGGCCCGAACAGAGCTAGCCGAGAACCACGCGAACAGGTTGGGGCGGTCCGTTTGGCGAAAGCTACGGAAGCGCCGCGCGACTAGGCTTGGGTTCGCGAAGGGGTTCGGGACCGAAGTAAATTGGCCGAGCCTGGACTTCCCAGAGTCGATGGCGTACGTGCTGTAGTCGAGCCCAGGAAGGAAAAGGTTTCCTTACAACAAAGAACACATCTACGCAATCCTCCCGACGGTAACTTGTCGAGCCTTGTCTTTTCCACTTATCACACGGCCTTACTGTTCTAGTGTTCGCAATCAGAATTTATCCGCCCTTGCTAGTCTAAGACCCGAAAATCAGCTCCGCCTGGCGAATTGTAGGATCTATCGTGCCACGTGTCGCTGTCGCACGTCCACTACCTTCGTATATTTCCCTCGTTTTCCCGTACGTACGCTGTCCCATGTAATACCCTCATACCAGACTGTTCTTAGCTTCTCTTTAATACACTATGTAAAATACTATTCTCTGTGTTCAGCTTCTAGGGTTAGCGGTATTGAGGGAAGGACAATGCAGCCTCTCCTTTTTCCGCGGCCTTTCTCTTCCCCTCTCCCCTGTTCCTATATTTTACTTCGCTATAGAATATTCTAGAATTTGGCGCCGAAGAAAGCGCTTCGAGCGGACGCGTCCTGGCGGGCCAAGGGCACGGGAGTGGCACTTGTTTAGCTTCCCTCCACTCTGTCCTCCTCTTCCCCCCCTGTGATTATTCTGCAGCACGCAGACAGACCCACACCCATGGCTCCGAAGAAAGCGCTTCGAGCGGACGCGCCCTGGCGAGCCAAGGGCACGGGGGTGGCTCTTATCGGCGGGCCAGCGCTGGCTACAGTGCGACGAGGGCCGGAGTTCAGCTACGCCATGAGCATACTGCGGGTGAGTGAGTGTACGTTTGTGGGTTTGCGCTGCACTGTGGTCTCCCCTCATACCCCCGGCCCCTTCCCCCCGTCCCCCCCATCCACCCGGCACCCGAACCCCACAGGCGCGAGTCGTAGATGGATTACAGGTGGGCTGTAGAAATCCTTGCTGTTGCAGCCCACCTTGCTGTTGCAACCCACCTTGCTGTTGCAGCCCACCTTGCTGTTGCAGCCCACCTTGCTGTTGCAACCCACCTTGCTGTTGCAGCCCACCTTGCTGTTGCAGCCCACCTTGCTGTCGCAGCCCACCTTGCTGTCGCAGCCCACCTGTCATCCATCTACGACCCCCATAGGCGTGAGGCTGGCGCAGGAGGCAGGGGTGGAGTGGAGGCAAAATGTGATGTAACTCGTCTTCTCTGTTAAACTCCCCTCTTGCCCTTCCTCCCTTCCTCCTCCTTTCCTCATCCCTCCCTCCCCAGCCTCCCCCTCCCCCCCTTCCCCCCATCCCCCCATCACCTGTTGGCCCAGGAGGCAGGCAAAGATTCCGTCCCCCTGGGGGAAGGGGAGGCAATTCCGTCCCTTTCGTTGAACTGTCTCTTCTCCCCACTCTTCTCTCCCATCTCCCTTTCCCCCCACCCCCCCACCCCCCCCCCGCCCACCACCAGCACCCAGACCCCATAGGCATGGGGTTGGCGCAGGAGCAGGAGTGGAGACAGCATGTTTTTGTCATGTGACCCCTTGGCTCGCGTTTCCCTGTCCTCTCTTCCCTTCCCTTTATTCCCCCAGCAACCGGACCCCAGAGGCAGGGGGTTGGCACAGGAGGCAGGAGTGGAGGCAAATGTTCCCTCATGGTCTTTCCTCTCCATGTTCTCTCTCCTCCCCCCCCCATCCCCCCAGCACCCGGACCCCATAGGCATGGGTTTGGCGCAGGAGGCAGGGGTGGAGGCAGCACAGGATGTGACTTGTCTCCTCTTTCCCTTCCTCCTTCCTCCTCCCCCCCCCCACCTTTTCTTCCCCGCTCCCCCCATCCCCCCAGCACCCGGACCCCATAGGCATGGGGTTGGCGCAGGAGGCAGTGGTGGGGGCAGCAGGGGATGTGACTGTCTCCGCTTTCCCCTTTTCCTTCCTCCTCCTCCCCCCACCTTTTCTTCCCCCTCCCCCCCCCCCCATCTCCCCAGCACCCGGACCCCATAGGCATGGGGTTGGCGCAGGAGGCAGGAGTGGAGGCAAATGTTCCCTCATGTTCTTTCCTCTCTCCCCCCCGCCCCCCCGACTCCCCCAGCACCTGGGCTCTATAGGCATGGGGTTGGCGCAGGAGGGAGGGGTGGAGGCAGAATGTGCTAGTGACCCCTTGGTTGCCCTCACGCTGTCTCTTCTCGCTGTTTTTTCCCCTGCCTCCCCCTCCCCCCATGCCCCCAGCACCCGGACCCCATAGGCATGGGGTTGGCGCAGGGGGCAGGAGCGGAGGTCACATGTGCTAGTGACCCCTTGGCTTCCCTTACGCTGTCTCTTCTCCCTGTTCTTCCCTCTGCCCCCCCCTCCCCTCATCCCCCCAGCATCCGGACCCCATTGGCATGGGGTTGGCGCAGGAGGCAGGGGTGGAAGCAGCAGGCGAGGACTGCCTTGTGCCGGGGCTCAAGAGGCCCGTTATCGTGATGGGCGTGCAGGTTGGTATAGGGGGTGGATCGAGGCTGGGTAGTGTGTGTAGGGATGCAAAGCTAAAGGGTGGAGGCAGGAGTGGAGGCAGCAGGGGAGGACTGCCTTGTGCCGGGGCTCAAGAGGTCCGTCATCGTGATGGGCGTGCAGGTTGGTGTGATGGGCGTGCAGGTTGGTGTGATGGGCGTGCAGGTTGGTGTGATGGGCGTGCAGGTTGGTGTGATGGGGGGTTATGGCATGAGCAGTCAGCAGCACAGACTAGTGCTGGGAGGCAGGGGTGGAGGCAGGGGTGGAAGCAGGGGTGGAGGCAGGGGTGGAGGCAGGGGTGGAAGCAGGGGTGGAGGCAGCAGGGGAGGACTGCCTCGTGCCGTGGCTCAAGAGGCCCGTTATAGTCTTAGTTGCTACAAACGCTCTGGCAGACGCGCGTTTAGCGTTCAAACGCTTGCGTTTGAACGCAAACGCCAAACGAACCCTAAAACGCAAACGCTCGCTGGGTTTTTTTTTCGGGCTGCCCCCTGGAAAAAAAATCGAAAAAGATTAGGGCGAAATTGAGACTTGGCGAATTCAGCGCGACATTCGCCAAGTCCCAACTCCCAACCATCTCGTCAATATTCACCTCCCAACCAACTCCCCCCCCCCAACCGCACTCCACACATCGTCAACTAGAGCTTCCAACCCCCCCTCCTCACATCTCGTAGTTTCACGCAGACTCCCAATCTCCTTCCCGCGTCAGATGTGCTTTCTAATTGCCGCGCGCCATAGCCGTAGCAACTTTCACACCCCACGCAATACCTTAATTTAAGGGCGCTCTCCCATATGAACCCCTGAGAGCGATGCGGATGTTGCTGTTACAGCGTCCGCATGTTGCTGAACCATGAGGTCTATAAATACTTCCGCGTTCTAGTATGACGGATTTATTTTTCTGGGCGAGCGCCCATAAATGTTCATGACGGATTTATTTTTCTTGGACGAAATGGTTGCTTGCAGAACCCCCATTTTCCCACCCCCCCACAGGAAATTTTTACCCCTGCCCGGGCAAAATTTTTAGCCCTGCCCGGGCAAGCGTTTGCCTAGCGTTCACATACACTATGACAAGCGTTTAGCGTTCAAACGCTAGCGTTTGAACGCTAGCGTTCAAACGCCAAACGCGTTTGTAGCAACTAAGGTTATAGTGATGGGCGTGCAGGCTGGTCAAAAGGTTTTGGTGAGTGGGGATGGAGGTTGCTTGCGAGTGGGGATGGAGGTTGCAAGGCTTGTTGGGGATGCACATTAGAGTGTGGAGACAGCAGGTGAAAATTACATTCCAGTCACCCCTGGCCCCCTTTTTCCTTCCTCACCTCCAGGCGTGGCCACTGGAGTTTAACAGCCCTCTCTCCCCCCCCCTTTTCACCCCTCTCCCCGTTTTCCTTCACCATCCACCCCTGCCCCCTTGTCCCCCCCTTTCCCTTCCTCTCCTCCAGGTATGGCCACTGGAGCTTATCAGCCCTCTCTCCTGGAAGGCCATCGAGCCCATCGGACGAGAGCTCAAGACCGTGTCCAAGGTAGGTGGATGCTACTGTTGAGTCCAAGTATGTTTCTATATGGAAGGCCATTGAGCCCATTGGCCAAGAGCTCCAAGACAGTGTCCAAGTTAGGTAGATGCTGCTCAAGTTTAAGCTCGACTCGAAACACTGCATCACTGGTATGTCAAGCCTGAAAACAGCACAAGCTCGACTCAAAACGGCCCTCTCTCCTGGAAGGCCATTGAGCCCATCGGACGGGAGCTCAAAACCGTGTCTAAGGTAGGGGGATGCTGTTGGTGTAAATTTGTCTCAAAGTCACAGCCTCACACAATGCGTGACCTTCAAACACGGTCCTCTTGAAAGCCATTGAGCCCGTCGGGCGAGAGTTCAAGACCGTGTCCAAGGTAGGCGGATGCTGTTACTGTAGAAGTTGACCCAAAGTCACAGCCTCAAACAGTGCGTGACCTCTAATCTGGCCCTCTGGGAGGCCATCGAGTCCCTCAGGCAAGAACTAAAGCTGGGCAGATGTTACTTAGATATGAGATGACTGAAAGGCATAGCCTCATTCCTGTGCACGGGCGCTGCCCCACTCTTCCGCCCCTCCCTCTCCCCTCTCACTGTCTCTTTTATCTCCTCTCTTCCCCGGTTCCTATGCAGCTTGCGGAGAGGGCAATTGATCTTATGAATGCCCCTCTTGGGCGCTGATGTGCAAATTCTGAAAATGGCTACTGATGATTTAGCGAACTCGGTTTTTTGTGTGTGTTTAGCAGGGCGATTTGTAGGCCTCTTGCTGTGAAAATTGTATGCTGATAGTGTTTTAGGCTAGGTTTATGCATGCAGGCAATCAATTAAGCTTTGTCACAGATAACTCTTGAAGAATTTGTCCGAAGAGATGGCTTATAGTGAGAACTCCCCTCCGAGCCCTCATAAAAAATAACCAACAGTTGCGATGTGGAGCCAGTTTCTAGATTGCGGGCATGTACAGAAAATATCCCATTTCTAGATTACTTAGACAACCCCATCCCCTCCTCCCACCCAACTCCACCTCCCCCCCACCATCCACGCACACACCTGCCAGCCTCCTCCTGCCCGTCCACGCTCTCTATTTTCCGTTTCGACTGTTATTCCCAGTTCCAACTGCCCAGTGCCCGCCATCATCTGTTTTGTCAAAAACCCATCTGCCCGCATCCGGACTTTGTCCCCTCCCCACTTGTTACATTTGCCCGCTTTCCTCCCGAGTCCCCCCCCACTAGCCCCATTTGCCAGCTTTCTTCCCCACTAGCCTCTTCCCTCCCCCTCTCGCGCTAGTTGTGGCAATGACGAGCCTGCCATGCCACTCTCTTGTATCCGCCGCCTATCTCGCGCTTCCCAGTCGCATCGCATTACGCCTCGCCGCGCCGCGCCGCGTCAGAAGGGAACCTTTGAGGCGCCTAGGAAATCGCAGCACCCCCTTTCTTCTGCTCCCTTAGGAAACTGACAGTCAGCAGTCGGCTGTCACCAGTCGAGTCGCGGCGATGGGCGTCCGCCTGATAAGCGAGCCGCCTCCTCCGATTCAATTCCACTCTCCATGGCCCCTCATGCGTCAGCCCGATACCCTTGTTGCCCGAGTCAGTCACGTCTCGGTTCTCGCACAAGAGCTTCCCGCATCACCTAAGTTTTTGGCACGGGCAACCGCACACCGTTTTGAATCACATGGTGTGCCATGTTCTCAGATGAGACAACGGATACAGTGGAACTTGCCAGACAAGACAGACACCAAAACCGCATGTCAAACCCAAAACATCAGGAGGTTACGGGGTATTTCGGAAAGTACAAATTTAGCCCCCTCATCGCAATCCGCATATGCCAAAGCGGTAACATGCGAACTCACTTACAGTCACATTCTTCCCGTGGCGAAGTGGGCGAAGTGTTGGGGACGCTTTCAGTCACTGCCGCCCAAAAACCTGGAGTGACAGACTCGGGCAACAAGGGTACGGTTGTCGGTACGTCGCAAAACGGCGACAAGACGACGGTGTATCGCAGGGCTGTTATCATGTCGGCACCTCGCCGTATCTGCCGTGTGTTCTGTACCTATCGCATGTTCTCACCAGACCAGAGGCACATCAACTCGGGCCGTTTTCAACTCGTTCCGCTGGTTCTCGCCTGGTAGCTAGCAAATCTACTGCTGTACAGCCAGGGTAGCAACCCTCTGCTTCTCGGCTGGTAGTAACTCTACTGTCCTGCATTCAATGCAAATCGCAGCAGCCCCTGCTCCTCGAATCCCCCTCTGGGTACTGTAGAATCTCCTAGTATCGAGTCCCAAGGCGTAAACCCGCGGTCCTCGGACAATGCGGCCTCATTATCACCAGCTCTTATTCGCAATGAATCGATCTGCCGGCGTTTACAAGCCCCGATAGGGACTACGACAGCCGCTAATTGAGTAAGAGCATTTAAATCGACCGGAAAGAGTCCCGAAACCCTTCATTGCGGTATCTCCACGTGACGCGATGACGGACCTACCCCCGCGCGCCCCACTCCCGCGCGCGGTACTCCTGCTCGTCCTTCTCCTCCTGCCCCTCCTCGCGTCGCTGTCGTTTTCAGCCGCCGCAGTGGCAGCGAAACCAAGGCACACAGGGGCGGGCTCTGTCGCCTTTCCCCTCGAAAAGCGTAATAAGGAGAAATACCCCTTGAAGTTCCACTGGCCTTCAGGGAAAGGAAGCAGAAGCTTTCTCCCGGGACTTCTGCCGGGGAAAGAAAAGGGAGGCGGCAAGGGCAAAAGCGGCAGCACCGGCGGCAGTAGTAACGGCAGTCGCGGCGGCTCTAGCGCCGGTGATACGATGGGTGCGGCCGCGAATGGAGGGATGGGGATGGGCGGAAGCAGTAGGTTTGGGGGGAAAGACTTGGGTGGTGGTTCGATGGGCGGATCTGGCGGTGGTTCGAACGGGATCTCCGGGGGAGGTTCGGGATCGGGAAGCGGAGGGAACACAGTGGGGAGAGGAAACGCAAGCAGCGGCGGAGGCGGAGTGGCGGAGTCGAATCTGACGGCGGAGCAGCAAGCAGCGTTGGCTAAAGTGAACGCCGTTTTGGGATTTCTGGAGAAGCGGAAATTCACAGGAAGTGCGATGGGCATCGATTTCAGTGGTATGTTCGTTGAATTTGAGTAAGCAAATCGGCTGTGTTCTACAGGCATTTGACGTTGACGTCGACGTCGACTTTGAGGAAGCTCCTCAAGCGACTTCGAGAGCACTGGTTACCACTCAAACCAGGTGCACTTTCCAAACCTCGCTTGGAAGCAACGCGCCAAACTGTGGAAAGCGCGAGCGAAAGGAGAGAGTAGCCAAATTGAGGCTGATGTAACGGCACACGCAAGGTGAACTCCTCGATTTAGCGAACGTCAGCATTGCGTCACCTTTGCGTCAAATTTGCCAGGGAGGGAAGTGAGGGGGTGGTTTCCCTGACGTAGATGTCATCTGTAAATGCACCTGTTCTGCAGGCATTTTGATATAACTAGGTTCGGGTACCTTGTGCCAGGTTTGGACGAAATTTTGCGGGCTGACCCTCGATCCGAAGCAAAAAATCAGGCTTTCGGAAGCTGCTCTGATGTAATCTGCACTTTCCTTTTCTGCCTGCAGAACGCAGCCATCAAGTGCTGGGTGGATGAATTACAATATTGTTATTTCCACCCATCATTTGTTTGTTCTTTCTATTCCTTTTGTGCATGCTTCAAAATGTACAGGTCTGACTGAGACCCTTATGACTACACTCACCAGCAACAATATTACGATATTTGCGCCAACCAATGGAGCATTTTTCCGCATGCCAAAAAGCGTGCGCTTTGGTGGGCTGAGGAGGAAGCCTGTCAAACATGTTTATCTACAATGTTTGTATAGACTGTATAGGGTCATCTCTTAGAGAGTACAACCCTTAGATATATGTCCTTGTACAATTCTTTCTAGTCAATCATTCTTCAGTTTTCCTTTGAGATGGTATCACCCGTAAGTTGGTTCCCCTCCACCTACCGCTTCCGCCCGTGCCTCCTAGGCCCCGTCGCTCCCCCGCCCCCCTGGGCCCCATCGCGCTGCCTAGGCCCCGTCGCGCCCTCCTGGGCCCCATCGTGCCTCCTAGGCCTCGTCGCGCCCCCCTGGGCCCCATCGCGCCTCCTAGGCCCCGTTGCGCCCCCCTGGGCCCCATCGCGCTGCCTAGGCCCCGTCGCGCCCCTCCTGGGCCCCTTCGTGCCCCGTAGGTCCCGTCGCGCCCCCCTGGGCCCCATCGTGCCTCCTAGGCCCCGTCGCGTCCCCCTGGGCCCCATCGCGCTGCCTGGGCCCCGTCGCGCCCCTCCTGGGCCCGGTAGCGCCTCCTAGCCCGTCGCGCCCCTCCTGGGCTCCTGTAGTGCTTCCTAGCCCGTCGCGCCCCCCCCTGGGCCCCTGCAGCGCCTCCTAGTCCGTCGCGCCCCTTCTGGGCCCCAGTCGCGCCTCCTAACCCGTTGTGCCTGCCTGGCCCCGTCGAGCCTGCCTGGCCCCGTCGCGCCTGCCTGGCCCCGTCGCGCCTGCCTGGTCCTGCCGCGTCTCCTGGCCCCGCCGCGCTTGCCTGGCACTACCGCACCTGCTTGGCCCTCGGCGCGCTGCCTGGCCCCGCCGCGCATGCCTGGCCCCGTCGCGCCTGCCTGGCCCCGTCGCGCCTGCCTGGCCCTGCCGTGTCTCCTGGCCCCGTCGCGCCTGCCTGGCACTGCCGCACCTGCCTGGCCCCGTCGCGCTGCCTGGCCCTGCCGCGCCTGCCTGGCACTGCCGCGCCTGCGCCTGCCTGGCCCCGTCGCGCCTGCCTGGCCCTGTCGCGCCTGCCTGGCCCCGCCGCGTCTCCTGGCCCCGCCGCGCTGCCTGGCCCCGTCGTGCCTGCATGGCCCTGCCGCGTCTGCCTGGCACTGCCGCGCCTGCCTGGCCCTCGTCGCGCCTGCCTGGCCCCATCGCGCCTGCCTGGCCCTGCCGCGCCTCCTGGCCCCGCCGCCCCTGCCTGGCCCCGCCGCGCCTGCCTGGCCCTGCCGCACCTCCTGGCTCTGCCGCACCTCCCGTGCCTCACCCGCCCTGCCTGACCGTCCGGCGCTTCTTCGTACCTGCTCGCACGTGCTGGGGCGCCGTTTTGCGGCCGCCGTGTTGGAGGGTGCTGCCGTCCTTTTCCTGCGGAGCTGTGCCGCTGACTCTGCACGATGGCTGACTTCGTGCTCCGACTGGACGCCGAGGGCCACGCGGTTGACTTCGCTGCCTGGCTCTCTGACCTCCGCCGCCACCTTACAGGTCAGCGTCAGGATGGCCACTCTTTGGTTGTCCATGTCGATGGTTTGCTCCCCCGCCCCCCTGCGCCCGCTCCCCTCCCTGTTGACCCCTCCTCTGATGCCCGTGAGACCTTCTCTACTGCTGCACTTGCCTGTGCTGTCTGGGACTCTCGCGATGCAGTCGCTCAGGTTGCTATTAGCCACGCCCTCCCTGTCTCTAAGCGCTCGCGTTTTGCTACTATTGCGACGGCCAAAGCCTACTTAGACGCAGTTATTGCCCGCTATTCCACACCCGCGTCTGCCTCTGCTGGCCGCTTGCTTTTCCCGATGCTCTTCCCAGACCTTGCAGCCTTCCCTACCGTCGCAGACTTTGCCGCTCACCTGCGTGCCCTAGAGACCCGCTATCGCACTGCCAGCACTGCTGCACAGCTCAGTGCGCTCCCCACTCCTTTCTGCATGACGCTCTATTTCATCGCCATGCGCCTGCCGGACTGCCTCGCTAGTGCTCGCGATCACTTCCTTAGCCAGCACCCGGCTGACCTCACCCTCACTGCCTTTGTCGACACCCTCACCGAGATCGAGACTCGCCAGCGCACTATCGCTCAGTCGAGAGGTGCGCCGGCAGTCTCTATCTTTCACGGCTGTGCCCCTTCCCAGTGCACGTTCACTG